GAGGATCAAAAATTTGAAAAACTAATTTTCACCCACTAATCTCCCTATAAAACCCCGTTCCTGTGGTCCAATCAAGCTGGTTCGCAAACTCGTTTGAATAAATCTGGTTGTTCACGTTTGTACCAAATTTTATCGAAATCGGATCATTTTTGTTTCAATTATCATGCTATATATATATATTACATATATATTTATATGAATTTATATCATTTTTCGTCAAACTGCAGCAAAACCAGACGTTTGTAATGCATGAGTTGCGGGTCTAAAGTATCCTTTTTACTCTCTAGGGAGTAAAAATTATTTTTATTCTCTAGGGAGTAAAAATTAGCTGTAGTAAACAGATAGTTGTAAATTTCGATTGTGGCAATAGTATCGATCAAAATGATTTATCGATTGATTTATTAGATAAGGTTTTAGCGGTTTAGCATATTGATGTACTGTAACAATCGTAATAGAATAAATGATTTAATCACTTACTAAACAGCTGCTTATTTGCATTGGCAGAATTTAAAACAAGCTGGAAGTCGTTTTGAGAGGTTATCTTTACATAAAAAAGATTTTGCTTTCTAGCTTTGTTTGTTAATTAAATATGACAAAAAATATTCACCACTCGGGCAAAAGTGACTTTTTAACTCTCGCTCATTTTCCGACCTCAGCTTTTTTTCAATTATCAACTCTATCAAATATGCGTGCACCACAAAGGGCCACCAAACAGCACCACGACTAAGCTATCAATAATTCAATAAAAACCACACCTCAATACCTTCCCTGTAGAATATACCTACCAGATATTTCATCAGTCATGATTGGAAGAAAACAGCCTAAATTAATCATTCAAAGTGAAGTGAGATTACTTTTTCAAATGAAAGGTCATACTGGGAGATACGGTAAAAGTCATCATAAAGCACTCTGAGCTTAGTTCCCTTATATCGAGTCCCCTTTTATAGAGATTCATGAGTATTGAATGGACTCAATCATTCAAATGACTTTATTCAAGACTAATGGAGTGACTAGTCATCAATAACATTTGTTTTTTATGGGTATGGTTATGGTTTACAAGGAAACAGTTATACAATTATAAGGGTTATAAAAACAAGCAGGCACACATTGATAAAAATAATACCCCAGCTGCAGCAAACCTTTCATATTTCTTGGGAGAAAGCTTTGGACTGTGAAAAGTACTTTTTCATGATGTTTGCACCTATAAAAAGACAGTTTCCATTCAACCTCGAATACCAAACTTTTTATTTAATTAAAAGCAGTATAATTTACTTAATAAAAGTTCATAAATTAATAAAAGGCGGTTGAAACATATCTTACAAGTGATTAAAGTACACACTTAATTACATTTTAGGAGTTGTTGGTCATGTTATTAAATCTGAAATATGTACCGAATAAAACCTGTAACCTCAAAACAATATTGGAAGTTTTCTGTTCCAAAACCTTATTTCAGCACCAGATGTAACTAGGCCAGTCAATATTTAAACGAAACAAGGCAAACATCGCAAAACGTGCATGTATCTATGATTTTTGTGTATGCTGTTGCTGTTAGGTTCCCTAAGACTTTATACCCAAGTTTGCAACCCTACAGTATTACCCTGTGCCATCCCCAAGATACTCTAAAAACTGTGAAATTCTGGCTCTTTTCAAGTTTTATTGAAAAAAATTAACTGAAGGAAGCGTTTATCAGGTACTAGCAGAGTACCCGTCTTTCGTACGGGGTTGGCATAGAAGTATAAAATGCTTATTGCAGTTATGGGAGAGGACACGGTTTAAGGAAATTTGGTCTTTAAATTTATACGGTATCCCATAGTGTAGCACACATCTACCAAAGCCCTAATGTTCTACCACTGCACCTAAACCATGGAAAAAGTAAAGTTATCATTGTGTACCACAACTTTTTGTTGCTAGTTGGTTCAAATTAGCTGTTGTAATAAATGCAAAAAAACATAATAGTGCTGCACCCTGTTGGTAAGCCTTACTTTTAATGCTATTTAATATCATAGAACCAACTTGTACAGTTGAAACGGCTGACAAAATTTGTTTATTCCCTTAAATATGAATACTCATAAGGTTAACATGAGAAAATCGAGAGCCAGAGAGCCACTGGGGCGGAGCCTGAAAGGGTTTTTGAGGTAAGAATATGTCTATATATTAATCGGGAATGTCAGCTATCATCATACCAAATTTCAACCTTGTCACAAACATCCATCCATCCATCCATCCATCAATCCATCCATACATCCAAACTTTCTTACTTATAATATTATTAGGATTAGTAAACTGTTGTAATATTGCTTGTTTATGGATATATTTTTATCAAACTTGGCAAATTTCTTTCTTTCATACTAAGCTAATAATATTTGCATATAAATCACACTTCGTTACCCTCTCTGTAGGCAGAAAACCTAGATAATATGTTAAACCTAATGTTATTGAATTAGATTTAATTGAAAATAAAGTCACACAAATGGAATTTTGCTTAGGCTGCAGGTTTGCTGCAGTCGGGGTATTATGGAATTTATATTTAGAAAGAAGACATTTGTGGTCGTACTGATTAACTCTAATTTATATAAGATACCAAATAATCCCGTTGGTCACAATTAGTAGCGCCGGTCGCTTGTTATTTGAACAGCTACTGCAAACCAGCGCTACTATTCGTATTTGCTAGCAGCTATACCTGTGCCTTGCAACGGGGTCAGTATGCAAAAGAGACAATGTTGGTTCTTTGAAGATGCCGAATGGTCTTACTCCTACCATTTAATTCAGAAACAAAATATAACTGTATAACTTAACTCGATAATAGTTGGTGTTGGTTAACTCATACCGTTCATACTTATTTAGGCTACCTACGATACAAAACCAATGATAGATTTTAAGGTACAATAAATGAACGTTTTAATGGTTTGCACTGTAAACAAAAAAGCTATCACAATAGTTACAAACCGAAAAATATAAAAAAATAGGAAAATAGAAACAAATATGGAAAATAGGGTAGTTTTCTAACATATTTTAGTGAAATTATAATCAGGCAAATGGACATTCACTCAGTCTATAGATTTGCTGCGGCAGGGGGATTATATTGCTGTTTACACAAAAATAAATAAAAAAAATAAACCTCATAAAACTCAGGATAATGGCCTGGCAATGATTATAGAATCTTAATTATTTCTTATATCCATGAATGATTTCTTTTACAACGAATTATTCCCTGTAAAATATTATTACAGCATTTCACAAATATTAGTACAAACTTAGTATAATAGATCATAAACATAAACAAATGAAGTAACTGAAAGAATCATACACTAATGAAATTACATTAAAATATGGTTTGACAGCTCCATTTAAGTGATGTTAAATAATTTTTACAAGTGACATCATTATTTAAAATTTATAATCCTTACCCTCTCTGTTCTAATATTCGTGCAGTATTTAATATGTTTGAACCAGCTGTGTGGAATTGTGAAATCAAAATTCATTTGACAGTTAGTTCTGCTTGTTTACATTTTTAAACTTTGTAGGTTTGTTCTTTGTTACCATGGATACCATCTATCAATATTTACTTTTAAATCTCTCACCTCAAATTTTTGAAAGCACACGGGGCAGACCCCTAGGACAATATCGAAGCGGGAATAGTTCTTTATGTATCCTCGGAACTGTAGCTTCATTTGTGTGCAATTTGAGCCCAGTCGGTTCAGTAGTTTATCTCATACAAACACACACACACACACATACACCACCTCTTCTTTATAATAGTATATAGATAGATAGATATAGTTCGGCCGCGTAGAAAGCGACCTCCTCCAGCATTGGTTTAGCATTAGCGCGCAGGTCGTTTTCTAAGCGGCCGAACTATAGATTTGTGTCCTATACTTTTTTAACCCTCCGAGTGTCATGCGTCGCTGCAGCGACGCGTAACGCACTTTGTATAGTGTCGTGCGTCGCTACAGCGACTCGCGAACACTGTTTACGGCAAGGCTCTATGACTAACTGAATCGGACTGTACTGGATTGAGTTAGGTATCGTTCTTTCCGTAATATTCTAAGCTTTCTCCAGAGGTCTGTCTCTAAGCACTATTCATTTTAGTTCCGAAAATATTGTAGCAGACAGCTGACTGAGCTGACGTGCGTGTATTTGTAAACAGCTAGGTTACCCTCGGACCGATGACTGATGTGTTTTATTACATTTATCATTGTTTTAGTGTTAAAAATCAAAAGTAGTGATATACGTGGTGCATTATAAGAAGATTTAAGTGGTTTTGAAGGGCTGGTTGATGATCCTGAAGAAGTAGGTAGTGATATTGATGTAAATTATCAGCCAGATTCCTAGCTATGGTTAGGCTATGCATTCTTAGCTAAGCGCTATGTACTGAAATCTGTTTTTTGCCCATAACTTATTTATTTGCAAATCTACTTCCTTAAATTATTATATATTTGTAATCCTCATAAAATTTAGAACAAAGTGGCTATTTTCAAATATTTATAGGCCTATAATTTATACAATTTCATTGAGCGCAAACTTATTTTTTTTTTTAAATTTTCGAAATTATACATTTTTTTTACCTAAAAAATTTTTTTTTAAAAATCTTCCTTATGTTTTATATATAATATTGAAGCCCAAGATTTTCCAAACAAAATGGTATATAGAACAGTATAATTAACATTGTTTTTAAGCTTCTCAGATCAGTTTTAATAAAATCTTGCAAATGAGCAAAAAATAGGCTGACATTAAGGCCAAAACACGTGACACTCGGAGGGTTAAAGTTAACTAAATTTGCAACAATTGGAACCCAGTTTGAGTTAACAAATTTTGCCCTTTGGAAGGGCCAGATCTCGTCAAACAAATTGCTGTTCTGAATATACTAAGGTTTTAACTGACTACAAGATCCACATCCGTAGAACGGGCACACAACACATTACCACACTTACTGAATAACTTACTAATAATACCACTTAGCTTTTATTCATGACTTTACAGTCCTCCTGGTTATGTTTCAGACATTGTTGCAAGCTTCTAACGCACCACTACCTGAGTACAAGACTGCTGCCGTCAAGAAGTCCCGCTTCGTGCTCTCCCACTACGGGGTGTTCAAGAGCTGCTGGGATTGGCTGATCCTCATAGCAACCTTCTATGTTGCCATCGTTGTCCCATACAATGCCAGCTTCGTCAACACAGATCGCCCATCCATGGTCAGCGATGTAGTTGTAGAAGCCCTCTTCATTGTGGGTAAGTTTATAGCTGAATGTTTTATACAATAAGACCTGTTAACTCAGCCATGTACAAAAGGTGTGGCTGCACAGGGCCCCCCACGTCAGGGGGCCCAGCACTTTGGGCAAAACACACACAAAAAACTTCAAGTCTTGGCAAAATTTTGTTTTTGAATAATCCCCAATATTCGCCATTATTTGTATTTTTTTGCATTGTCTTGTTAAATAAAACATTGCGATCAATAAACATAACTAAGTTCTTGTTGATTTCAAAACAATAATCAAAGTACGAAACGTCCACAAGAAATGTATGGGGGAGAGTTTTCATTTGAATATATCTTCCAAGCGAAAAAAGATTTTTAGAAACAGTTTTTGGCATTGAAATTAGCGTGAAAATCTGTATAATGATGTGACACAACACTATCATTACATTTTAAAATTATATTAATAATATCCAATATGGCGGATCCAAGATGGCGGCCGAAAACACCAGCTATGCCATACTTTCAGACAAAAAGTAGTATACGATTCTACATGTCCATACCTATCCATCACCACCAATCATACTATTGCTTCATTCAAAATCCCACGAACCTTCCTATATTTTTACAAATGCCCCTACACTATTTATATATTTTTTGATGGTCTAAGTCTAAACTGTTATTTCACACATGAGATATCACTGAATTTACTTATTTCTTAGTAGTCGGGTTGGGTAGCAGGAAAATATTTCAGTTCTGGCGGGGAGGCTGCAATTTTAGGTGCAGTAAATAGCAGCAAACCACCATCCAGCCACCATCTTGATAATGCCATTACAGACGACCGAGGTCCTTAAAAATTGGGGTCTGGGTGGTTTTTGGTTCAGAAACTTGTATACGATGCCAGAACTGAAATATTCTGCCACTATATGCAACTACACAACCCCACTATAGCCTTTAACATACAATCAGTATGAAACATATCTGTGTTTTTGTATTTACTCCGTATTTTCTTTTTCTTTCTATTTAGGTAAATTGAATCTAAAGAATTAACTTATCAGTAAATTTCATGGAAACTATGAGAAAATTGTCCCCACTAGGATATACATTGTTGTCAGAAATTACGAAGGAACACAGTTGACAACCACTGATGAACACATAATGAAACCCATCTCGTACAACACTGCCACAGGGAGTTGTGTGATACGTTATCTGGTAGGAAATATCACTGATTAACAGAGAAACTGTAGTCCTGATGATAATGGCAGATATTTTTAATGTACCGGTAAGAAGGAAATGTATTGATAGCTCTGTTATTACATAGCTTATATAAATTCAATCTGAGATTTTTTAAATCAAGCAATGAGTTAAATGTTGTCACAGAAAAACATTCACCATACTTATTTATAAATGGGGGATGGTGAGGTAGCTAGTAGTTAAAGACTACAGTTAGCTGGCTAGTGTTGATATTAAATTTAAATTACAAAATTAAAGAAATAAAATCAAACAAAGTAGCCAAGATTTTTGTCCTGGTTGAAACTTTAAAAAGATCCGTCCTTTGAGAAGGCTAAAATCTGTCCTTAACTTAAGGGTGCGCTCTACCTCAGCTCGGGCTTCAGTAGCTATGTCGCGCCATTGAACAGCGCCGTGAGAAGCGCTTGCAGACTTTCTGTAACACAGCAATTGCCTTTGTAAACTATTCATACATGCTAGTAAAAAACAAAGATTGGGGTTTTACAGAACAAAGAACAATCTATGTAACCCTGGTTTTAGAATTTTCAAGTAACAATGCTATAATTAGTTAAAGCAGTTTAAAATTGCCGTTTTTCGTCTATATTCAAAAGAAGATTTTTGGTCTTAATGGTACAATAATAAACATTTTGCAGCCATCATATTTTAGATAATTTAATTCTCTTCAAAACAACACCCTAATTTTGATTCTACGTGAAATGTAGCCTTCGGAAACACTGTTGCCCCAGGCCCTAACGTTTTCATGAAATGGCAGGGGCAGAGCGCACCCTTAACATAACCCTTCGTCAGTGACACCACAGAGTTTTCCTCCAGGTGCATTTGTTCATTGTTGAACCAATTGAACACTATTTTGATCTCACTCCTCCCCCGCAAAACCCCTGCCATATTAATCAGTTAAAGCCTTGAGTCACATAACACGGAGCCTGGCTCCGTGAGTCACCGATGGTGTTGTTGTTTTTGTTTGCTATGTATTTTTATAAATATATAAAGTAAGAGTTTTTATTGATTTCATGCACATTTTTATTAATTATATATGGTTTTAATGCCTTTTTGTAATAATATATGTATAAAAAATATTGTTTGTCTAATATTTTAATATCCGGGGGAAAAATCTGTCTCGATAGCTATTTTTGATACGGAGTGATGAAAAATGCTTTATCAATTGTTATTTACATTATACATTGACTATTATCAGAAGTTACAATCAAAAGCATTTTGATTGACCATCAATATAAATAAATACAAGTCTCCTTAAATTAATAGCCTATAGTAAACCATAAGATAAGAAAGAAAAATACAGCAAACCAGAATTTAGATGACTTGATGAGAGAAGCTCACTAACTGCTTGGCCTTGAATTCCCTTGTCCTCTCATCTCATTACAAACATTCTTTAATTACTAGTGCACCTTCTGCTCAAATTCGAGCAATTGCAAAATATTAAAGGCATTATTTCAAAACGAATAACAGTCACAATTCCCGATGACTTAAAAGAGTCAACTCAAAGATAATGTACCTAATCAATCACTCCACTCCAGTTATCGAAACTGGGAACGAACTCACTCTAAAAAACTAACCCTCTTATGTGTATAATTTATTTACTATGAACAGCTGTAATTAATACAAATTATTCGTCTGTTTAAGTAAACAAAATATTTTTTTCATAAGAAATACATTAGGATTTTGATGGCCTGTGGGGCAAATCCCGGAGACATTTATTACAGGAATTGGTGAAAGGGGGCGTCTACACAAAAAATACTTAATTTTGACACCTCGTTTGTAGAAATCAGTCCATTATTAACGGAGGAGTAGTTTCGTAGAAATCACCTTCACGTATTATAAATAAGGATACTGATTGATTTTTGTGTTATGTGTTGTTTATGTTGCTAAAACCTACTAAAAAGGTGGGAGTCTTGGAGTCGTGGTTTTTTCATAAAATTAACATCAATATACAATCAAATTTGTATACGCAGACTGTTTTTGCTATCTCCGATCAATACACAATTATATTTTTCTGTGAAGAGCTTTGCTCCCAAAACAATAGTATGCCAAGTGAGAATTTGTTTCACATTACCAGTACTCATTTAACCCAAATCACTGATATAGATAAAGAAGAGGAATACAGTAATTACTACTTAAGGTTATAAAATACAGGTACAGTTTATTTACATTTAAATACTGCGAAAATGTACAAAAGAGGAATAAGAACCATCATTCAAAGAACTTCTATTACTAATATATGTTATGTTTTAAATACCACTAGTGATCTAAAGAGTCATAATCATCTGGCTCTCGCTTTCGTTTTAGACTGTTGTCTTCGTCAGTTTCAAATTTAACGGCCATTTCAATTTGTTGACTCCCTGCAGTTGCTATCTGTATCTTTGGCTTAGGCGTCATCATCGTTTGTGTTTGATGCATACCTGGAAATATAAAAAAAGTTATTTGGGAGTCGTTAGACATGTTTTTACTTGGTTGAACCTCGCTGGGGATAGGACTTGCCAAACCGGGACTGCATGGGCGTCTAACTGTTCTATAAGGAGGGGGGGGGGGGGGTTCAGGAGTCCTCTCCGGGAATAATTTAAATGTACAAAATGGTTCATTAAAAAATATTGTAACTACTAATTTTGCTTTATGTATTGTCAATTTATTGTTTTTGTTTGCATTTTTTTTAAATTGGTAAACATTTTGTTAATGTACGGTCTTATAGGGAGGGCTCGGGCTCCTCTTGCCCATATTGATGGATGCCCATGCAGGACTGTAATCTTGGCCAAACAAAGATTTGGCCATAAATAATTATGTACTATAAAACTTTGTAGATTTCAGCTTCTTGACTGCTAATTGCAAGTTATCTTAAGAGGGAAGTAGTTTCTGTGATGCGAAGGCTGAAGAAGGCCTCTCACCTGCAGGAGAGAACCTGATGACAGGCTTGGGTGTAGAGATAGACTGAGTACGAGGGACGGTTGTCAGACTTGCGTTGCTGGGTCGTTTGACCACATGAATCTGAGGGGCTTTCACTCCCATCTTGACTCCACCTTGCTGCTGCATAGAGTAACTGCCAGATGAAACAGCTGAATGGTTGAACTGCAAACACAACACCAAATCAGAATTAACAATATTTTTTTTAACTTTAAAAATCTTTGTTTAAACTATTGACTTTTAAATACTAGGGGAGACTTCTCGTATAACCAGCAGTAGGCAATTATTTTTATTCGAAATAAACATAGTTTATTGAGCTAATCAAATCAAACAAAGTGTGTAACTGGTAATATTCCATTTGCTGTTACAGTTTTTTTAAACTTTGATAAACTCATGCAAACTTTTATTAGTCAGCGGAGCACTGCTACAACTGTCAATGAATGCTGCTAGTTTTGACAATGCTCAGCTGTCACAATTGTGGGAGTGTCAGGGATACCGAATTTAGCATTTGTACTCATCAGTAAAAGAGCAAACCTTACTGTTTAACTTGTCATTCCAATAGCGAGAAACACTATTTATGTAACATAAATAAACAACCTGGTTAACTATAACCTACACTTTCCCTTCCTTTTCTGACCTAACTTCAAAACACTTGCAGCCACAAACCTGCATAAACCCGGATCTGCCTTCCACACATGCCTAAATAAGATGGCTCAATTTGTGTTTTCATATATCCGTTGTTTATTTTGTACCTTTGCATTCGCTTGTTCATTGTCTTTCTGTCTCTACTCCAAGTCAGCAGACGACATCACCATAGACCAAATTGCAACGCTTGAACAATCCAAGCGACATGGCAGTAGCAAAAGTATAGTATTGATATCATTGAATTGTTTAAAAGTGATTTTAGAACTTTTAAGCTGGGGTCTGCGTCCTAAATAAGTACCAACTCAGGATTGGTTCTATTCAGAACACCTCTTGTGTCCCTTGTTAAAGACACTATTGGGACTGATTTCAGAAATTAACTCAATCCCCTTCCAGACTAAACTTCCTACACACTTGAAAAGTGTGTTCCCAATTAAAATCAACACCTTAAAACCTAAGTCCAAGTATAGCTTAGGGTGTTTGTTTGTTGAATCTCGCCTGCGACCGCTAGAGTACTTATAGGAGCATTAGCAGCGTTCGGCCGATGGTGGCATGGTAGCTCAGTTTATCAGAGTATTTGTACAAAAATCTAAAATATAAAAACACTTACATTGAAAAAAATAACATGGTCAAACCTTATATGCTTTCCCTAAAATCAATCACAAATTAACATAAGAGAATACCTCTTGTGATGAAATTGTTCGACTATAAAGCTCAGAATAGCCTTTGGTTAAAGCTCCACCAACTAAGTCATTAGAGTTAATTAGGGATGGACGGGATTGAATTTTTAGTTCGGGACGGGACGGGACGGGATTTTTATTTCCTTCCCGATTTTCGGGACGGGACGGGATTTTTTCTGTGCATAAAAAGAAAGTCTTGAGTATTGCAGTTACCAAAAAAAAGACATACAAAATCAATTTTTACCGTTTGTGGTGCTGATCTATAAAAACCAAAAAATGGGTAACAATATACAGGTACCTATAGAAACTTGTGACTCGCGGTCACGGTGCGATCGTCAAAATGACCGCGGTCACGGGGTGATCGTCGGTATGACTCGCGGTCACGGGATGATCGTCGGTATGACTCGCGGTCACGGTGCGATCGTCGGTCCAATAATCGCGGTCACGTCGTGATCGTCGGTATGACTCTGCGGTCACGGGGTGATCGGTGGTATGACTCGCGGTCACGGTGCGATCGTCGGTCCAATAATCGCGGTCACGTTGTGATCGTCGGTATGACTCCGCGGTCACGGGGTGATCGTCGGTATGACTCGCGGTTATGGCGCGATCGTCGGTAGGACTCCACACGGTCATGTCGTGATCGTCGGTATGACTCCGCGGTCACGGCGCGATCGTCGGCAGGACTCCGCGGTCACGGGGTGATCGCCGGTATGACTTGCGGTCACGGCATGATCGTCGGCATGACTCCGCGGTCACGGCGCGATTGTCGGTATGACTCGCGGTCACGGCGCGATCGTCGGTAGGACTCCGCGGTCACGGCGCAATCGTCGAAATGACTTCGTCTCCTGCGTTCGCGAACCTATCGCTCGCAATAGCGGCGTCATCGGCACTCGTGAAGCCGCAAAATCGCCGACGATCGGACCAAATCCCGTCCCAAAAAATTCCCGAATCAAATGTAATCCCGTCCCGATAATCGGGAATATTTTTTTCCCAAAAAATTCCTGAAATTTCGGGACCCGTCCATCCCTAGAGTTAATCAATGTTTAATACCTTCTTGGGGATGGTGCTCTTCAGCCTGTAGTTGCATGAGTTGAGACAGTAGCGGTCGGGTGGTAGCCGTATCCCACAATGAGGCTTCACCAATGGCAGTGGACTGTTATTTTTCATTCTGGCAATCTCCAACAGAATCTACAGAAAAAACATGATGAAAAAACTTGAATGTTTATCAGATTCATTGAAGCAAGGTTGATTACCTGTGTAACTTTGCTAATGAATGTTGTTTGGATCCCTTATTCACTATTGTTATTCTAGGAATAGCTTGTAGCCTATTAAGCAAAGATCTCCTAAGAGATGTTCTGCTATCACAATAGTAAAAGCTCAGCCCAACACGACCTATTAACTTAACTTAACTGTAAAATACCTTAAAATTCGGTAAAAATCCAATATTCTTAGGTGAGCAATTTTTGCTTGTGTGTATGTTTGCTAGCTTGCACAAAGATCTCAAAACCGGCTTCGACAATTTCCTTTAAAGTTGTACAATTTATTTCTGCCCTAAAAAAGTGTTTCATGCAGTTAAAACTGCCAACAAAAATTATGTAAAAAAATTGTATTAAAAGTAAAAAAATTTCAACAGTAAGGATTATGGGTTACTACTTTGGCAACAAAATAGCAACGAAAATCGTCAACATAAAAAAAGGAAATAAATACAACCTGATTATAAACAAACTTTAAATCAAAGACGTTTTTTAATTATGACTGGGGGACAGTGAGATGATATCCTTACAACTGGAGTTGTGTAGTAGTAAACCGGCAGCACTGTTGATTTTGCTCTGTCCTCCTGGTACGATAGTTAACAAGACCAGGGTTAGGACCATTCCCATATGTACAAAAAACATAAAAATGCTATGAAGGTAGGTGTAGATGTACACGTAACAGGTATGTTAGCCATAAAAAGCATTCTTTTACTTGTATTTTGGTTGGCTGTCAGTTTAGTAAGAAACCAAAGCAGTGTTGTCTCGATCTTGGCGCTTCAAATTTATCAGTAAAATTCACTTATGCCGTACTCCAAGCTTTGCTTGAAACGTTCCTCGCAAAGGCCTTTAAGACCCATGTGGACAACAAATTCAAGGATGAGGCCACTTAACTCTTTAAAAAAACCTTCGATATACCAGCAGTATTACAGTAAAGGTCCTAATCAAGCTACTGTGATATACTATTTAAGGTTTGAGAATAGTGATTTACTAACATCCCGAGGAGGAGGTGTGGTGAAACTTCTGTCCAACTGCAAATGTACAGCCAACCGGACATCATCCAAGTCTAGCATCTTCTTTTTGGCATGGTTTGCGTAAACTTTAGCATCTTCCAACACACCAGCAACATATCCTGCACAGTTTTACTAAATATTAGTAACAGCAGGATTAGTTAAAGAAACTCTAAAACTAAATATTTTTTTAATTAAAATTCATATTGGTCATTAAATTACATGGTTTTAATTTTTAATGGAATTTGACTGCATTTCCTGCTAATCTGAACAGTTTGGTTATGCAAACAGGGTTCAGTCCCAATTACTTTGAAATAACAGGTAGACAATTTGTTGCAACTCAATTAGCCTATCAGTTACCGGTATCTTTACTTTTAGCATCAGAAATCTGTTTCATATGCTATGCATAATTCTGAAAGTAAATATCAACTGATTTATTTATAAAGATCAACAAACTTCAATGCAGTTCACTAACATTCTTTCCATAAAGACTACACATGGTGGATAAGAAGGATCCACAACAGAAATGATGACAATAAGGATTGCCCCTAGTTCACTTTTTTCATCCCTGAGGACCTAAAACATCAATTCAACTCTCCTCAATAATTTTAATTTCTAGTAAAAGGAATTCTAATGAGAACCCCTTACAACTATCAACCATGTATCTGAAAGAAATTACAATTTAACAAATTATAATAACTTTATTTTTTTAGAAATTATATTAAATAAATACAAGGGAATAGAGGGAACGAGATATTTGTAGACAGTGTAGGGAGCCTGTAAATTTGTATTAGAAAAAGTAAAACTAGTGTTATATAGTCAATGGTAAAACCTTTTGAATGTTGGATTTTATCTCTATCACATGGTATTTAAGTTTAACGTTTCTTATGGTATCATCATTAGGTTTTGATAGGGTCTATGTACCTAATTGTAATAGATATTTTTTTTTTTTATTATGCTCTAGTCTGTGGATGTATACAATATAATAAGAAGGCTAGATATTATTTTTTGCAGGCAACAATTCTAAGAATTGATTCCTCATATAACAACTTATGCAAAAGTTTTGTCTACTCCTACACTAGGTCTATGTTTAATTTAGTTTTCATAGATCCTCTAGAGTGTACTGTACCTATATAACAATCTTCTCATAGCTGGAACATCTACCCCTCAACATACAAGTTTACAAAGATACAAGTTTTTCATAAGATTAAGTTGGATAATTAGTCAGAGAATTTAGATACTGAACCCTCTAATGGAACCAGACTTAACTATTAGTGCAGTAGAAATAGTGTTGGAGGTGGAACTAATTGCAACATAAATTATTCCAGTTAGACATGGTAGGTAATACACTTATAAAAAACATACTAAAAATATACATTTGTACTATTACGCAAAATACGGTTTTTGGCCGCCATTTAAAAAAAGTGTAAAATTTTAAATTATTGTTAAAAAATCTGGTTTGTTATCAAATTATAGAAACCTTCATGTTGGAAAAGAATAAAATGGTTGAATTTAAAATATACTGTTAACAGTGATGGTGATGCACTATGGGCGACAAAGTGCGTTTAAAACAGTGGCATTTAAAAAGTTTTTTTATTTTTTAAGTTATTTTATACATTTAAAATTAGTTTTTTCCATTTTTGACCCTTAAAACATAAAATTTCCCAATTTCTCTCTAGACCTTTTTACAAGCTTAAAAAAACAAATAGTTTAGTAAATCAAAGTGTTTTCGTTCGGTTATTGGTAACGGAGGAAATTCAAAAATTTGAAATATAAAATCCCCATGTTATTTTTATGGAGAATACTGTAAAATGTTGTAGTTTGCTTGTTTATGGACATATTTTGATCAAACTTTGCAGATTTATTTATTTTATACTAAATAGTTAATATTTCAATAAAAACACACTTAATTAGTTTCCTTGTAGCAGCAAACCTAGGTACTCGTTTCGTTAAACCTAATGTTATTTATTAAATAGACTAGCAACATAGCCCATTGTGATTAAATACAACGGTCTCTAGTAAAATAATGATTATGAAATCCATACACCACTTTACTCACTAATATTTGGTACGGATTAAGCACATAACATTTGAATCACACACTTAACACAAGGAACACACTTTAAACACAAATGCAAATTGTTAACAACAATATTTAATAAAAAAAAATCAATTAAATCACAATATAACAATAAGCTGTTAAATTATAACACATTTTTCGTATGATTAGATTATGCATACTGGTAAATCAATTATTGCCATCTATTAAAATAATTGGTTTTTCTTTTTCGAGTCGGGTTTAGCTCTTCTACCCGATAGATTTTTTTTAATTTTTGCCTTAAACTGGGTTTACTTTATATACCTAACCAGCTATATAGCAGATTTGTGTAACATCTAGCAATGTTATATAACATTTGATAGAAGTAGAAAAAGTAACTTTTCAAAAGTGCATGTAGCAGATCCTGCTATAGCTAAAATTGTGCTATCCACCGGGAGTCGGTAAAGATCAAAAGAAATAAGTGCTACATCTAACATTGCTATATGTAGCAATGTTATACATATATTTTTTGTCTAGCATCTGCTATATATATAGCATTTATTGCCAACAGTGCACAGTTGTAGCCTCCTGGGTGCGGACGGTTTTGCTCAGCGATCTTTGTTTACAATGGAAGGACTGGAAACGGAAAGTGACAGTGCGTAGGATCGGGATGCAATTATAAACTTAATTGAACTGTTCCGTGGACAACCGGTGGTCATACGTAAAACGGATTAGAAGCTACCGTCGCCTTATTTCACGATTTTATTATGGATTGTTCCTCATCATTAAGTAAGGTCCCGTAATAAATCTGCTACACTGTACTTATTTCTCGAAGCAAAAAGCGGTCGAACCTAAAACTTGCTAAAATCTTCGCTTCCGTCTCTCTCTCTGACTTCCAAGATCACCACGATAGCTGCCACGAACAATGTCTTTTCAGCGCACATTTCGATACGGAATGCGAATGCTTTAAACTAAACGTATGGACGCACCACAGATTTGCCATCAAGCATCGGCATTCATTTTCGTGTATACAGTATTTCGAGTTATGCACAAACTGCCTCCCTTTACATTACTTATGGGAGTTAAGTTTTTTTTTCGAGTTCGTTTGGCTCTTTTACCCGATTTTCATAATTTTGGTCTCAAAACTATGGAATCACATATTTGTCATCAAGCATCATTATTAATCTATTAAATGTATTACTCTACGAAAACATTTTAATTTGATTTTTTGATTTTTTACTTACATTAAAGATGTATTCCAGCAGTTACATTATCCTATGTTTTTATCTAAAAACCTTCAGTGAAATACCAGCTTCCATTGGAATTATTGATTATTAAGATCGGTAGTACCTAAAGCACACTGTTAAATCACAAACAACCCAAAATCTTTTAAAATGGAGTTATTTATCCTCGATTTATAGTCAAAAGATCTTGCTTGCAACCTCAACAGTACGCTAACTGTCGACGATGACGGGTTTCACCTAGTAAATCTAAAAAAAATCAAACTTTTATAATTATTTGAAAATTTACATGAATTAAGCTTTCCAACGACCCATTAGTCAATAAAATCTGTCTATAGGTCGGCCGTTTAGAAAACGACCTGCGCGAAATTTTTAGCGCATGTAGGGGAGGTAACGGAGAGGGAGGGTACGTTCCCCCTCTCCGCCAATGGCCTTTTTCACAAGGTGTGTGGATAGTGACGTCACGTGCAAGCTGAACGTGTTTTATTTCACCAAATCATATGTTTTCTTGTAATTTCCCAAAGACTTTCGAATGACAATCATTACGAGTTAGCATTGAATATACAACACTATTAAGCGTTTTATATCCAATATAGTGTTGTATTCAATATTGAATATAGTCATAGTGTTATACAGTACAGGGTGCGGCAAAAAACCGAACCATTTTCTGCAGAGCACTGTCATAGATAAAACATACTCCCTTAGTAGATTTCTCATCCTTATGGAACAGCTGAAGACAATTTTATTGTTAGTTCATGTACGGTTTATGTAGAGGTCGTGTTTTGTTTACAATTTGTTTCCCGTTATTACAGCCATTTAAAACCTCGTTTAACCAAATAATACGATCTAATCATAAACAATAACTTGTCCCCTAGTTATACAGGGTGGGGCAATGAGAACGCCACAATTTGTTTTAGCTGTCACATGTTAATTGTTGCAACAACGAATGATCAGCTGTGCTTAAAAAATCAATTAAATTATGCCATTTTAGTAAATATTATGCCCGAGGCTATGAACACTGAGATTTTCATGTGCAAACCTATTTTGAAAATAGTGGTTCTTGTGCAAAAACCCACAGATTGTTTGGACCACATTCCATCCTTGGTCAACATGGCACTGTTCCAGATTGGAAAACAATAGTGAACTGGGTAAAATTATTTAGGATAAACCCTTAAACACTAAAAATAATCGGTGGGTGCCGCAAAACTCTTTGTACACCAGCAAATGTTGAAAGAGTCGCAGTAATTCAAAGTCCAAAGAGATTTGCCAGGAAGCTGTTGTTGTTGAAAGCTTTACGTTGTGGACAATTCTTAGCTTCGGTTCAAGCAAACTGTGGGGTGACTTTAAGAAAACCTCGAACTTCAAGTAGCTTATTAGAAACCCCCCCCCCCCTTCCAAAAAAAAGGAGCCAACGTAAAGCTTTCAACAACAACAGCTTCCTGGCAAATCTCTTTGGACTCTGAGTTACTGCGACTCGCACTCTTTCAACATTTGCTGGTGTACAAAGAGTTTTGCGGCACCCACCGATTATTTTTAGTGTTTAAGTGTTTATCCTAAATAGTTTTACCCAGTTCACCATTGTTTTCCAATCTGGAACAGTGCCATGTTGACCAAGGATGGAATGTGGTCCAAACAATCTCTGGGTTTTAGCACAAGAACCACTATTTTCAAAATAGGTTTGCACATGAAAATCTCAGTGTTCATAGCCTCGGGCATAATATTTACTAAAATGGCATAATTTAATTGATGTTTTAAGCACAGCTGATCATTCGTTGTTGCAACAATTAACATGTGACAGCTAAAACAAATTGTGGCGTTCTCATTGCCCCACCCTATATAACCA